ACTAGAGAATATTGATGGTAGCCTGCATAGAAGATCCCGTTCGAGCACATGTAGAGCTTTGATTGTTTCTGTTCACACTAGAGGATATTGATGGTAGCATGCGTAGAGGATCCCGTTCGAGCACACGTAGAGCTTTGATTGTTTCTGTTAACACTAGAGGATATTGACGGTAGCCTGCGTAGAGGATCCCGTCCGAGCACATGTAGAGCTTTGATTGTTTCTGTTCACACTAGAGGATATTGATGGTAGCCTACGTAGAAGATCCCGTTCGAGCACATGTAGAGCTTTGATTGTTTCTGTTAACACTAGAGGATATTAATGGTAGCCTGAGTAGAGGATCCCGTTCGAGCACATGTAGAGCTTTCATTGTTTCTGTTAACACTAGAGGATATTAATGGTAGCCTGCGTGGAGGATACCGTTCGAGCACATGTAGAGCTTTGATTGTTTCTGTTAGCACTAGAGGATATTGATGGTACCCTGCGTAGAGGATACCGTTCGAGTACATGTAGAGCTTTGATTGTTTCTGTTAGCACTAGAGGATATTGATGGTAGCCGGCCTTGAGGATTCCGTTCGAGTACATGTAGAGCTTTGATTGTTTCTGTTAACACTAGAGGATTAATGGTAGCCTGCGTAGAGGATCCCGTTCGAGTACATGTAGAGCTTTGATTGTTTCTGTTAACACTAGAGGATATTAATGGTAGCCTGCATAGAGGATCCCGTCCGAGCACATGTAGAACTTTGATTGTTTCTGTTAACACTAGAGGATATTAATGGTAGCCTGCGTAGAGGATCCCGTCCGAGCACATGTAGAGCTTTGATTGTTTCTGTTAGCACTAGAGGATATTGGTGGTAGCATGCATAGAGGATCCCGTCCGAGCACATGTAGAGCTTTGATTGTTTCTGTTAACACTAGAGGATATTAATGGTAGCCTGCATAGAGGATTCCGTTCGAGTACATGTAGATCTTTGATTGTGTCTGTTAACACTAGAGGATGTTGATGGTAGCCTGCATAGAGGATCCCGTCCGAGCACATGTAGAGCTTTGATTGTTTCTGTTAACACTAGAGGATATTAATGGTAGCCTGCGTAGAGGATCCCGTCCGAGCACATGTAGAACTTTGATTGTTTCTGTTAGCACTAGAGGATATTGATGGTAGCATACATAGAGGATCCCGTCTGAGCACATGTAGAGCTTTGATTGTTTCTGTTAACACTAGAGGATATTAATGGTAGCCTGCGTAGAGGATCCCGTCCGAGCACATGTAGAGCTTTGATTGTTTCTGTTAACACTAGAGGATATTAATGGTAGCCTGCGTAGAGGATCCCGTCCGAGCACATGTAGAGCTTTGATTGTTTCTGTTAACACTAGAGGATATTGATGGTAGCCTGCGTAGAGGATCCCGTCCGAGCACATGTAGAGCTTTGATTGTTTCTGTTAACACTTGAGGATATTGATGGTAGCCTGCATAGAGGATCCCGTCTGAGCACATGTAGAGCTTTGATTGTTTCTGTTAGCACTAGAGGATATTGATGGTACCCTGCGTAGAGGATCCCGTTCGAGTACATGTAGAGCTTTGATTGTTTCTGTTAGCACTAGAGGATATTGATGGTAGCCTGCGTAGAGGATCCCGTTCGAGTACATGTAGAGCTTTGATTGTTTCTGTTAGCACTAGAGGATATTGATGGTAGCCGGCCTTGAGGATTCCGTTCGAGTACATGTAGAGCTTTGATTGTTTCTGTTAACACTAGACGATATTAATGATAGCCTGCATAGAGGATCCCGTTCGAGTACATGTAGAGCTTTGATTGTTTCTGTTAACACTAGAGGATATTGATGGTAGCCTGCGTAGAGGATCCCGTCCGGGCACATGTAGAGCTTTGATTGTTTCTGTTAACACTAGAGGATATTAATGGTAGCCTGCATAGAGGATCCCGTCATAGCACATGTAGAGCTTTGCTTGTTTCTGTTAGCACTAGAGGATATTGATGGTACCCTACGTAGAGGATCCCGTTCGAGTACATGTAGAGCTTTGATTGTTTCTGTTAGCACTAGAGGATATTCATGGTAGCCTGCGTAGGAGATCCCGTTCGAGTACATGTAGAGCTTCGATTGTTTCTGTTAGCACTAGAGGATATTGATGGTAGCCGGCCTTGAGGATTCCGTTCGAGTACATGTTGAGCTTTGATTGTTTCTGTTAACACTAGAGGATATTAATGATAGCCTGCATAGAGGATCCCGTTCGAGTACATGTAGATCTTTGATTGTGTCTGTTAACACTAGAGGATGTTGATGGTAGCCTGCATAGAGGATCCCGTCCGAGCACATGTAGAGCTTTGATTGTTTCTGTTAACACTAGAGGATATTGATGGTAGCCTTGCATAGAGAATCCGATTCGAGTACATGTAGAGCTTTGATTGTTTCTGTTAACACTAGATGATATTGATGGTAGCCTGCATAGAGGATCCCGTCCGAGCACATGTAGAACTTTGATTGTTTCTGTTAGCACTAGAGGATATTGATGGTAGGCGGCCTTGAGGATTCATTAATATCCTCTAGTGTTAACAGAAACAATCAAAGCTCTACATGTACTCGAACGGAATCCTCAAGGCCGGCTACCATCAATATCCTCTAGTGCTAACAGAAACAATCAAAGCTCTACATGTACTCGAACGGGATCCTCTACGCAGGGTACCATCAATATCCTCTAGTGCTAACAGAAACAATCAAAGCTCTACATGTGCTCGGACGGGATCCTCTATGCAGGCTACCATCAATATCCTCTAGCCTGCATAGAGGATCCCGTCCGAGCACATGTAGAGCTTTGATTGTTTCTGTTAGCACTAGAGGATATTGATGGTACCCTGCGTAGAGGATCCCGTTCGAGTACATGTAGAGCTTTGATTGTTTCTGTTAACACTAGAGGATATTGATGGTAGCCTGCATAGAGGATCCCGTTTGAGTACATGTAGAGCTTTGATTGTTTCTGTTAACACTAGAGGATATTGATGGTAGCCTGCATAGAGGATCCCGTTCGAGTACATGTAGAGCTTTGATTGTTTCTTTTAACACTTGAGGATATTAATGGTAACCTGTATAGAGGGTCTCGTTCGAGTACATGTAGATAGGTAAATTGTAACACAATTTTACAAGTAATCAATGTTATATCATTTAAACATAGCTTATATCCACGTAAAGAAGGAATTTTACCGAGTATATCAAATTCATCCTTAAACCGTAAAGAGTTTAAAGTAAGAAAGTGGAAACAATGTATCCGATCTAGATAACGTTGCATATCTCAAAAACTGACTCCAAGATCAAGTTTGTGTTCAATTTGGATTGAAAAACTTTGGAAATATATATGTTTTATTTCATAGCAAAAATGAAAACGACCAAGCATTTTACTAGAGGAACTTTCATTTAAAAAAGGAAAAATACACATGCCTAATCTCTTGATATAATTTGATAACATACTTTATAGGAGTAACACGACGGGTGTCATTTGTGGAGCAGGATCTTTTAACCCTTCCGGGGCACCCCGATTTTTGGTTGGGTTGTGTTGTTCAGACTTTCTATGTTGTGTTTTGTTTACTGTTATTTGTCTTATTTCATATTTTGTCATGGCGTTGTCAGTTTATTTTTTACTAATGAATGTGAATATCCCTTTGATATTTTTCGCCTCTCTTTTATCTTTTACATATCTTTGTTAATGGAGATCCATGAGACACTAACTTACAGGTTTATGTAAATTTTAAGATAATTTTACTTCACTGGTATTACCATGATTAACTTTCATAAGCTGAGTAAAACGTACTGCATCATTAACAAAACTTAAATAAAATATACCAAAGAATAGCACAAGAGCTTCGTCCCATCTAAAAAAAGTAGTTCTTAAATAGAAATAAGAAAGTTAAAATATGCAAAACCAAATTAAATATATTTTAAAATAGGTTCATAACAAAAGCTTTTTTTTATTAAGTTAGCCGGTGCAGACTTCATAGAATAGGATTTTTTTATTCACTTTGAAACTATTATAATCTTAATACAAAAGAAAACATTGGGGAAATGAATATTTTACATGGATTATCCACCAGATAACAATTTAAACTTGTAAATAAAAAAAGTATGAACAAGTACAAATCAGCAAATCTCCTTTTACCAAACTTAATGGCAAATTAAATATGAACCTCCACATCTCCCTCATCAAGCGCCGTTTGGAAGAAAAAAACGGTTATTTGATCTTAAAATAAAAATCATGCACTACCTTTTGGAACATGTTTTGATAACTCGAATAATCCATCGCCCTCTATCAACTATCTTAAGGAGTGATCGTAGTGATGAATATAACGACTGGATTATTCGGGTTAAGTTTTTAGAAGAACAGGAAGCTGCGTGCGTGCATAGTGGGGTAGTATATATAGTTCTAATATATAATATGAATTTTTTTATTATATACTCCCAGGACTCATACTATAATGGATACGGAAGTTCCCTTAAACTGTACCTCCAAATAAAATAATACAAGCGATATTTCAGATTATTTCTTCCATTTGAAACTTATATTTCAAAATTGTCTCATTGGCAGTCAACCCACATTTATGTATTTTGAATAGAACTAATCCATGCTTGCCACGTGATCTCATTTATCTCGACTATAATGACGTCAATGTGTACATAGGCTGGATTCCATTTTCGAAATTGTTAATGTGACCTAGCTACCGAATTAGACTCAACACCGGGGTTTTGACTTATATGAGCAACACCACGAGTGTCACATATGGAACAGGATCTGCTTATCGTTCCAGAGCACATGCAAATATTCCCGGTTCATGTTGCGCAGACGTTAATTTTCTGTGTGTGTTTTGTGTACTGTTGTTTGTCTTTTCGTCGTTTTTCGGTGTTTGTCATGGCATTGTCAGTTTGTGTTCGACTTATGAGTTTGAATATCCCTTTGGTATATTTCGCCTCTCTTTTAAGGAAATTGAAAGAAAAACAAAAGATTTTAAATAAATATTGTATTCAAATAGTCATCTGGCAACAAGTAGGACAATTGATATATATATTTGTATTTACAAAACATGAAATAGGAATACGTGACTTGTATAACAGAAATGTGAATAAATTACAAATATTATGAATATTTCAAAAACAACCAATGTAAAAAATCATTTCTTGGGTATTTTATACCCGTTACTACGACACACACAATTATATATTTCCAAAGCTACCAGATAGTATATGATGAACTAGAACGCTTTGCTTAACCAGTAAAAAAACGACTTTTAGTCTTTGAATATTAACAAAAAATAATGAATTGCGCATACCGTAACTAGATGAGATGAGTAATGATGTTCCTAAAATATTTCAAACAAGTCATGACTTAAAAAAAGCACCCACAAAATTTGGAGAAATTAAGGGATTTTTCAAATTATATAAAAACAAGGAAGGCGGTAGTTGGTTAAAATTTAACAGAGAATGATGTTCAAAACACAGAGCTAGTTACAAATTTGAATTGTATTGCTATGGTGCAAAGTTTTCGTATAAACAATATTACTGTTAAAAGGCTTTTATTACGTAAAAATGTAAGATGGTCATTCAAAGCTTGTTTTGATTTGTTACAGTAAAATTATTTCAATGTTAAATAAAGCAGATGTAATGAAGATAATTGCGATGGATTGGTCTTAGTCGAACCATGCATTTAAATTAACTAGAGTTATCTTTCTTCGTACAGTTAATATAGTCTATATTAGACGTTTCATTTTTCTGTCAAAGTGGCAAACAGTAAATTCTTAACTTATAAAAAGTTTAAACCGCTAAAAAATGAAGTACATTCCATTAACCCTGGAAGTTCAATCATTACTACAACTAGTAATGACTTCTATCACAAACAAGATCACAACTCCATACTACATGTATACATTTTATCACATTCAGATGTATAAGGGTCTGAATAGGGGTCCTTCCTTACTGTATTCTTCCAATATTTAGGTCATTTTTCTGTATTCTTCCAATTTGAGGCCATTTTTCTGTATTCTTGATTTGTTTGTTTTTTATCTAAGCACCCATTCTTCCTTATTTTTTGTCTATTGTTTTGCTATTTTTTTCATTTTGTTGTCCTTTAATTCTGTATTGTTTGTCCATTATTCTCTATTCTATAAACCCCATCCAGACCCTCGTGTTCTCATAACAAAATGTCATCTAAACAACAAATATAAATAAATCTATATTTAAACAATAAACACAACCAGCTAAATAAGTAAACATAAACTTCAACAAACAATAATAAATACATTGAAATATATGTACCTCTTATAATAAACATTGATCAAATAAATATGAATTGTAGCATGTAGTAATGTAGATGTTAATCTTTATCCAGCTCATCTTTGGTGGACCAACAACTCGGAGCCGCTGTCAAACTGTTCACATAACTTAATAGAAAATGAACTGGATTGTGTCCTTTAATATCCTCTTGATAATTCACCAAGATACGAATACTTAGAAAATCTAATCAACAGTTTCCAAACCTGAGAAACAGTGATTTAGAAAATTTCTTTATTTGGATAATGACAAATTAAAATTTAGATTTAATTTATACTTTTAACATGTTTAATCTGCAGCTAAATAAAATCTTCCAGGTAAGTAAGAAAAAAAAACAAAAGATTAAAGTTAGATTTAACAAATAGAGTTATCCCTCTTTGTACTGGGTCTGTCCTCTGCCTATTAATATTTGTTCAGTTTGAATGTTGTAGAGGTTTATGATTTATATTAACTTACATGCTCTAAACGAACAATTTAACTGGGAATAAAAGTTGAATTGAAACACATCTTTATATCAAATACATAGGTTGATATTTCTAGCGATCCCCTGTATTTGAAAGAAATCAAGTAAAAACTTTGCTTTTAAGACAAAACGTAACCTGAAGATTTACACCGTAAATATCCCTCGAGCTATTTTTTCCACTTGTAGATCTAATTTGAGAAGAGTACAACTGTCTCTTTCCTATGTTTAGTTTAGATGATAAATTTTTTTTATAATTTCCTTTTGAAACCAATTAATATGCTAAAATAAATATATGTAAATAAAAAGCTTGATTATTTGTACCTAGAATGTGTGTTAGAAGGACGTTAATTTCATATTCAGTGGCAGACTAGGTTTTCAAGTTCCAATTCAAAATTGATACTTTAGAGGGGCTGATTTTACTCCTACTTTTTTTAATGCTGTGCTTATATCTACCAAGTGCATATAGCCAGGGATTGACAGCGGACTGACGCGAAGAGGAAGGTTGGGCCAGGATCCCATATAGCTGAGAAGCAGGGCATTAAACGATGAAAGGTGTATTGTCGGATATAACCAGTGCTATAATTAATTAAACATAAAAAATTTAATTAAAGCAAAATATCAAACAGCTTTTTGTAAAAGACCTCTCCTCAAGCATTATCAACAGCAGAAAATAAATACGAATTATTCCCCCTTTCTGATAGCAGATCTTGTTAGCGGGCGGCTCAGATTTTCAAATTTTATAATTTTTCGGAGACAACCGCCTTTTATATCCACCGATTTTGTTATATGATTTATTTACACAAAGATGTATACTTAAAAGAAAAGATAATAAAATGGACAGAAATTGTATATAAGATGTATCTATGAATGGCGTTGTTATAAGACAAGCCTTTATTTTGTATAAATGCGTGATTTTTCTAAATATATTTTTTTGATATGCATCATTCAGAGATCGTGTAGAAAACAGCAGGATTCGCGCACATTTAATGTGCAGTATGATTTTAAGTACTTGTCTACTTACAATGTAATTGTTAAGACTTCTGGACTTCGAAAGTCTGTTTACTGCCTTGTACATACAACTAACATAGATAAAAAATTGCTGTTGTATGCGGTTGGTGTCTAACGCCACTCTCAGCGAACTTGGATATATCATGGCGACCGGTTTTTATTGGGGAAGGAAACCGGTGTACCCGGAAATAATCACCGACCTTCGGCAGGAAAACTGGCAATCCTTGTTAATAGAGAGTCGAACACACCTCGTCAATAATAGGTTTCGAACTAGCAACCTTAAGAGTTTACAGGCTAACCTGATCACTGTAGATGAGCTACTGAGACCCCTCGGCCACAGAGGACTCCGACCCCATTTCCCCCGATTACAAAATTGAGATTTGTATTATAGATTTCAGAAACAATAAAAAAAAAAACGTTTTCGATATCATCTTATTGTTCTAGGCTGTTTCTTTCTCAATGTTTGGTCTTAAACTTGTTTTTATAATAGCGGGAGATACTGAGTGGTATCATACATTTTAAGGACAGTTGTGTAATAGAAAATTTAAATGATTGCTGAATTATAACATAGCCACTTTGCCCCCAAAAAAATCATCTTCAGCAAGTCATATATTTCCCCCACATCGTGTGTTGGTTTGTCAGAGACATAACAGTTCGTTCACTCTATAACTATTTATCAGGGATACTGCAGTAATTTACCGTACACAACTATTTATCAGGGATACTGCAGTAATTTACCGTACACAACTATTTATCAGGGATACTGCAGTAATTTACCGTACAAAACTATTTATCAGGGATACTACAGTAATTTACTGTACACAACAACACTGTCACTTGATCACACATTTAGAGAGGATTATATCATTAAATTGTCTTAAAATTTGAACTCCCTAATCATACCCAACAAGCCACTGAAATAATACTGAAGTACAAATGGGTAACACATTACATTACGCTATCTTCTATACTTAAAGAACAATATACACAAATTCTGATGCTTTTTTCAAATGATTTCAATATCATTTACATTTCTTTTTTTTTCTATGAACATTCTTGTATGAAATTTACACAACGTATAAACAAATGTAAAAATGTTACGTAAATAACACTTATGTACCCACTTTACATTTTAATGTTGACGCAAATTACAAGTTAATATAAACATTTAAATCCAGAATAATCATCAAATTAACCCTCTTCAGAACAGTATTTAACAATATAAAGACTTACGGAAATTTGAAAAGAACGCATAGAAATTCAGCCGTCTCAAAAATAACATCAACAGTTATTCCAAAAGAATGTACTTATGGTACACAAGTGACGTGAAAAGACACAATTTTATAGTTTATGGTACAATGACACAAGTGACGTGAAAAGACATGATTCTAAATGCATGGTACATGCATACAAGTGTCGTGAAAAAAATACATTATTTATAATTGCATGGTATATATACACAAGTGCCGTGTAAATTCATGATTCTAATTGCATATCTTTTAAATAAGGCTATAAAATTTGACATCTGCTTTTGGCATCCTTATTCTGTCTCTTATAACCACTGGTATAAATAGCTAAAAATTACCGGAAAAATACATTTAGGCCATAAAACAGTAAAATATTTCTACGATTGATTGATTGATTGGTGTTTGCTTTACGCCGCCTCAGCAAATATTTCTACGACATGCATTAGTAAGAACAGGTATATACACTGTAAAAATGGTGTTTAGATCCTAAACACATTTCTAAGCACATCTTTTGTGCACTTTTTTTTACATGTTTAGATCTAAACGTGTCTCAGTACAATGTGTTTAGGATTGTGTTTAGAATCGTGTTTAGCTTAGAAAAAAGTGTTTAATTTCTAAACACTTTCATTTTTAAACACATTAAAAGTGTTTAAATTCAAGACATGTTTAGATATTATGTGCTTACTGAGAAATGTGTTTAGAAATTAAACACAATCCTAAACACGTTTAGATCTAAACATGTAATACAAGTGTTTAATTTCTAAGCACGACTTTTACAGTGTAATGACCAATTCCTAGAGAGAAAACATAATATACTCTTTAAATTAAATGTTACGAAAATACCTTATACATGTATGTTACGAAAATACCTAATACATGTATGTTACTCTATATGACATTTTAAAAGATGCAAACTACTTTGATTCATAGAAACTTTTGAAACTCGCTTAATATTCGTAAAACAAAAACATCTGTACTTTGTTCTTATTCTTATTTGTTTGGTTTTTTTTTTAGTTTTAGTTTCTTGAAATCAATGTTTGAACATATAAATTTGGCGATTTGTATTCTTTTTTACGGCATCTTTAAAGTACGTACACATATAATCATTATAGTTTGGGTTCAAAAAATCACAATTGCATTTGCCTGACAAGCACACATCATTCACACAAAAATTGATTTTAATAATTTTGAAATCAACTGGAAATGAGAGTACAATTTCTTCAGAAGTGATACCACACACAATATGCCTTACACTCCTCCCTACCCCTTTTCTCCATGGGGAATAGAAACTGAACCTAATTTCTGCGACGGAAAAGTGCAACCCAAGAGGCATCCGCGGTTGTACGAGACGAATCAAATATTAATCGTTGTTAACTGTTATGTGTCACAAATACGGTTCTAGTACATGAATTACTAAAGGATTGATTGATTAGTGTAACGCCACTTTCAGCACTATTGGCTATTTCGTGACGGTTTTTATTGGTGGAGGAAGGCGGAGTGTACAGAGAGAACCATCGACCTTCGGGAATTACCTAGGAAATAAAAAGATAAAATAAAAGTGCTCGTTCTTCTTGTAAATACTGTTTCGAATGACAAAACGTTTAGAAGTGGGAATGAAAACGTCAAAAACACTTTTGAGAAATACATTGGCAAAACTAAGACCGTGTTTTCATCAATAGACAGATATAGATTATTATGTAGATAGAAACATGTTGTTTTATTTCCTAAACGCAGTCAATTTTTGTGTGAATGGAGCAATATATTTATAAGGAAACCAGATGAGGATAAAATTGTTTCGTGTTAATATTTTTCTAGCTTGCATTTATTCTTTGAAATTTTTGCATTTTCCTTTATATCTGGCGAAAGTATTATCAAAATCAAATGTAGATTAACAGAAATAAGATATACTATCAAGTTCAAAACATGTAAAACTTGTAATGCTTTCTCTTTTTAAACAGCGTTTCAACTAATACGATAAGATGTCTCTAATTAAAATACCTTTCTGAGCCATGATTTGTCAAAAGTTCTTTTACAGTATTCTTAACATATTTGATTCTATATACTAGGAAAACTAATTGCTGTGAATATTAATTATTATGCATCTGAAATATACTCATGAAACGACTTGTGTTTTTGATTTTCGGAAATTCATCAACATTCTGATAACTGGAATGATTCTTATTTTTTTCTTTTCCACAACCCACACGATTTAGCTATCGATGACACCGAATTTGTGCTATCAAAATTAGAAACTAGATTTCCAATCGAAATTGTTCGGAATTTATACCGTGGATGCACACACTTCCTCTGCCAGCTCTGTGTCAAGAATATCCTTGCGCATACTTCCGGTTCCTGTGCCATTTCGGCCTAGTCATACATCCTCCCCTTCTATAACATTAAGATCATGTCCAGTTATGTTAGTTCGGATCTGTATTGATTTTTTGCTGCGATAAATATCCCATAAGCCAGCGACTATTTCAGCTACTACAATCTCACTAGAATTTTTTCCAATGAGTCGCAATGTAAAGACACCGTCATGTCGTAAATAATCTAACACAAATCTACCTACAAGTTTCCTTTCAGGACCAGTAGTGATCCGTTCCATAAGTTTCAGAAACTTTTTAACAAAATGAATTCTTGTCGATGGAAAAAGCATGTACCAGAACCACATAACAAAATTTACACACGTGCATATAGAAACGAACACTAACCAAAACCACATAAATATATAGATTTTCTCATTGAAAATATTGATCGGAAGAACACATTGAACACTGTAGTGCTGCAGATTTGTAATTTGTCTGATTCGGAAGTCACACATTGTTACTTTTGGAAACCTATGTGAACCTGACCATTCCTTTCCTTCCGTTAATTCTTGTAGCACTTCAAATCCATAAACCTTGTAATTAGATCCTAAAAATTCATTTAATAGAAAAAGTTGTCCAACTGCATTCATGATATAAAGAATTTTCATCAGAAAGTACACTGCTACAAGAAAATTTCCATATTTTCTTCCGCACAGCAAATTTAAATTTGCAGACAGGATGTGCCTTAATTTTACACAACACGCATGTCTCGTTTCTCGTTGATTGTCAAGGCAACGATCCAAATGTCTGACCAGATATTTTATAGCCCTGGCTCTGTTTTCTGGACTTTCCATCATGGCATCACTTGCCAAACTCACTATCCGATCAACATTTATACCAGAATGTCCATTCAAAATTCGCCAGATTATACAAGGTAAATAAAATAATAAGGCTTGAATGAGAAGCATAACTGGTACCCATTGATAATAGTTAATTTCCTTTTCTTTTCGGAGATGGATATGCTCCAGTGATGGAACTTGAGATTCCATTGGAATATAATAAGTGTCTTTTATCCAACATAAATTGTTCGTATAATCAACATGAGTACCAGGAAATTCTGCAGGGCACCAGCATCTAATGGGATCGCCAACATATTGCCTGGCGGAAACAACTACAGTAAATATTATCAGTATTCCAGTAGTATAGAAATGATTTAGTCTATCAACAATGTCATCGTCATTACGGACTTTAACGTTGGCAACTCTCCCAACCGACCCAATAATACTGTCCATCCTGAAAAACAATAAATAAACATTTAATAAATATGATAAAGAACCATTCTTAAAATGTATCAAACCAAGGTCTGGTTTTGAGTCAGCGAATGTGGTTTTCATAAAAATCTGTAAATATTAAATAACGAAGGTTCAACTCCAATGAATTCGGTTCAAGTTCTGTAACAGTCTTTTGTTTTACTCTATGGATGTATTATTATTAACTGAACTCACCATATATGAATATATCATTATCTAGATTTACTATTTAATTTTTAGAATCTCAGTTACAATGTACTATGAGTAATTTTTTTTTAATAATCATTTATACCTGATTGTGCAATAGTACAAGATAATACAAAACAGTATCACTGATAGAGAAGCTACCACGTTTAAAAAAGAGGCAATTTTGGAAAAAAATGAGCTACGGTGTAGCTAACTGCTGAATTTATAAGAAATATTCTAAATTTAACCTTTATGTAACTTTAGAGTTTAAGTACCTTTTCAAAATATCCAAAATGAATTATAACAAAGCTTACATGTTGTTGAAAAATCTGACAGCACATTAATAAATACAATGTTTAATATTCCTTGCGTTATTCCAAAATCATGTCAATGTTAATACATGTACAACACATAAATACGTGTAACAAGACCTGTCCGAATATGTCGGCACATCTAAGACATAAACAATGCATAAGATTATGTAAACAATACGCATGTGGTACTGTATATTTCTTATTAATGGGATAATAATAAAAGCATGTGAATTAAGTGACCACAAACACTTTTTATACTGCATCACTTCATTCAGGTATTCAGTAGATAATTATTTAAAGACATGGAGGCGATTGCATGGCGCACCTTCATCAAAATATTGTCAAACTTCCGTTGACTCGCGCGTTAAGCGAACAATATTTGGTAGCCACCCTCAAAACATCAGGCTATTTTGTTTTCTGTCGTTAATCAATGATTGAGGACCACTCATTAAGAGTCCAGTTTCCAATATGAATAAAGACCAAGACTGGATTGCACGTAAAGACTAGTTTCATTTTTAAAGCCAGTTAGTTAAATGACCCTGACATCGCCACCAAAATAAAAACTTTTAAAAATTCAATAGGGTCAACAATTAAGCGTACAATTATTTTCTTCTCCTTTTTGTAAACTTGGTCTGCGTTGATCGTAAGTATACTGAATTGTGCAAGACTTACGATCAATTTTAGTCGTAAGATTTTTGTGAAACTCTTGCCTGTACTGTAAATATACGAACGTAAACGCTATTACGCCATCGCTGTGCTCACTTACTTTCAATTAGAATACAAATATATGTCAGAAGTGTGTCAGTTAGTAGACACTAAATGCAAATACGTGATTCTGAGGGTAAACAACTTCAAAGTACTTCTCCTCTATAACACTAGGTTAATTCTATCTAATTATTTGCATAGTACTGCCAAGATGACTCAACCACTGTGTTTTAGAAATGCTGAGAATCTGGAACGTTCTACAACGACTGTTGCATATATGGAATTCGAATTATGAAAGGATAAAAAAGATGAAAATTTTAACATATAAAACTATTTTTCTAAATAAAACAGTAGATAATTCAAATAAGCAAACATGATATATAATTCAACCACAGCAGTGACAAGAAGTATCATATTTTACTGTATCTATAATGAGTCTATTTCCATGATAAAATGATTTTTCCCCCTTCAAATCAAAATAAACATAAAATATATGTGTTGAAAAAGAGTTATCATATTATGTAATACCATAGGGAAAATAATATCATGATATCATTTTGTACAACTGTACACGTGTTTTGTCGTCTATACTGTAGTCACTATAGAGTAGTTTGTTGTTTTTCTGAATTGGTTTTTTATTGTTTGTTCCCTAAAATTTAAATTTCATTATTTCATTAATCAAATTTGAAAGGATGTGGGGTGGTGTTGGGGCGGAAAGTTCTCAAGATATTTAGTTTAAACCCGTCCGAAGCTTGTACATCACTTGTACATCACTTGTACATCATCACTTGTACATCACTTGTACATCATCACTTGTACATCACTTGTACATCTCTTGTACATCACTTGTACATCACTTGTACATCACTTGTACATCACTTGTACATCATCACTTGTACATCACTTGTACATCACTTGTACATCATCACTTGTACATCACTTGTACATCATCACTTGTACATCACTTGTACATCATCACTTGTACATCACTTGTACATCTCTTGTACATCATCACTTGTACATCACTTGAACATCACTTATTTTTATAATCATTATATTCTAAAACATTTTCTATCTTTTGATGTCAATTTTTGAAAATTTTTGTTATATCTGTCATACAATTCATAAATTTACAACTTTAATGGAGTTGGTTGTGTACACTAGTGTTTTGTTTGCGACCATATATTGACCTCCAGACTCCTCTGCGTTGAATCGTTGGGTTGCAGTCTCATTGATTTTTATCAAACATCCCTTTTGAGGGAAAGGCATTTTGTTATTGTACAAACTAGTTAAATCAACTGATTCTTTATGGAAACAAGATAAGGTCTTGAAAGATGGGTTCTAATAAAGACCTAAAACTTTCACTTTTTGAGTTATTTGACTTTATTATACTTCATGTCAAAATGCCAGATTTTGATTGGTTAATACGAGGGAGACAATTTACTCTATCCCATGGCAAATACTCTATTAACCCTTCACGGAGACGCTTGCTCAAGTGTGCGCTTTAATAAATACGGATGATTGTTATGTACAAGACGACATAGTTTATTACTTTGAATTTGAAATTTAATAGACAATTATAACAGAATATTCGGTATAATAAATTAAATAACACATATCGAGAGGGTGATAGAGCAGATTGTTACCCCTCGAAAAGACATTGTCAACATTGGCTTCGCCTCAGTTGACAATGTTTTCTCGGGGTAACAATCTGCTCTATCACCCTCTCAGCTATGTGTTATTTATATATTATTGTACCAGGAACATATATATTGATATACTGTTCCAAAATTGTACATATGATAAAATCTAGATAGAAGTCGAAGTAAGATTCATTTAAATATTCTATTTCCTATACTAGTCAACAAATGTAACGATACACAAGTTTGAACTCCAATTTATCATAAAATATAATAAATAGAAAAAACTGTTAAAGTATCCAATGAAAAACATTCATTTGCAAAGCAGATGCATATGATTAAAAGAATCTGACCAAACTTGAAAGTGAGAAAATACCGTGTTATTGAACACAGGGGTCAAATTTATTTTGCGGAAAATGATAATAAAAGTCGGCGCTTAATTTCGAAGATGAGAATTAAGTATTCAAATATCTGCAAAGGCATTCAAACTTTTAAGCAGACCAAGCATAAGTTTAAAGTTTTAAGTTTTAAAATCGATTTTTGAATTTTGGGGTAAAAAATACGATGTATAAAATAACAAAAATTGCAAAAAAAAAATTCGCGTATTTGCCTTAAATCAATGGTTCTGATAAGAAAATAACACTGCAGACCAATTGGGCAGTTATTTACCTTGGTACAGTGTATCCAATTTCATTATATATGGAAAATACATTGCCTTGTATCGTTTCTTTTGTTGACTAGTATATTTATAACCGTACGGTTCGATTTTCAAAATGTTTACCAATCATATAATGTGAAGAGATATAGGAATTGTGTATTATAAATATATTTGTGATGTAGAATTTCTATTAAAATGAATACTAAAAATATAACAAACTCGTACAGTATAAACATTATCCAATCAAAATATATCCACTCACCACAATTAAATAAAGAAGAATTGTCCAGCTTTCTCCAAACAAGCGCTAAACAAAAATTATTCATTCTCAGACTAAACATAAACTAAGAATACACCATCCCATAATATATATGTTGATTCAACGTAACAACAGCTGTCCGTACAATAATTAGATCATACTATACATATATTTATTCATATTTATCTGCTTTTCGGTATTTGATTAGAGCTCCTTGCATGTAATCCCCTGATTGCATCATGGCTACCAGTGGGTGTTCAAATACCTTTCTCACCTTCCTGATAAGATAAGTACGGCTATGATGCAAAAGAGATTCGTTTTTACAGGAGAAAATTATACGGTAATTGCGAGTTCATGAAAGTTGAAACATTATACATAGGATAAATAGGATAAATGAAAATGAGAGATGTGAAGAGTGATCCAAAAACGAGAAACTTTGAGGTCATCGATCGTAATGTTTTCAAAGATGAAAAAGTGTTCATACGGCATTTCATGCACTTAAGGTTATACGAACATATTCAAGTTGTGGATCCAGAAAAAAGATGTTGGGAGAAAAGGGGGGGGGGGGGGGGGGGGGGGGGGGGGGGGTAAACAAGTCTATGTGCATTAAACATTTTTTTGTGGTTCCATCGAGAGGGGAGTCCCCGCCAAATCCGCTTCTGACACTAACGATAAATCTATGTTAAAAAGGCAAGAAAGAAAGGAAAACAACAATGAAAACTGACAAAGGAAAAGAAGTAACAACATTCAAGAGAAGTGTTTGCAAGATCTAATTAACTATGAAGCGCGCTAAGAGAATCCTAAGTAGATGGATAACATATATATACCTTTAAGTGCAAAACACTTCTTGTAAATAATCATTAAATGAAAATTCAATGTATTTAACTAAGACGACCACTATACTGAACCTTATACCATAGATGTCATAGCCCAGTGGCGGATCCTAAAGGGGGGGGGTCCGGGGTTTGGACCCCCCCCCCCCCCAATTTTTACGATCAATGCTTTTGAATTGGGACATATGGTTGGACCCCCCTTTTATCCTGGGTTGGAACCCCCCCCCCCCCCCCCCCCCCCCCCCCCCCCTCTTTTAAAAATGGCTGGATCCACCCCTGTAGCCATGCTATTATATCTATGGCATTTCTAATACATTTACACTTAAATAATCTAGTAAATATCGGCGGAGGGTTGTTTCTTTATCTTAATCAATGACTTTATTCTGAT